GGTTGGGCAGGAGAGGGTGGAGAGGGCATGTATCTCTGACTGGGGAGGCCGTGACATACAGAACTAAATATGTTATTAACTGCACACCATAATCAAACACACTGAAGTAAAAAAAACTGAATGGGATAACACTGCACATGCTTTAGCTATTATCCTGTCATAGTGTGCTGTTTCATAAATGTAGACTAATCAACCTAAGAATAAATGATATCATGCGTTGCTTTACAAGTTGTGTGAATGTGAATGTGTTTGCCATCATGTGCTTTGTAAACTGACCAGTTTTTGACTCCTTCCAGGGTTCCACAGAAATGAAGATATGAAGGCCATTGAAGTTCTTCCCATCCTTAAAGAAAAGGTGGCATTCTTATCAGGTGAGCCTATATATTATTCTATATATTGGGTTTCCTAATCTAGTTGTCTAATAAATCTGTCATTGTGTACTACAGCGACTGTTGGCGCTTTGATTAATTGCTTTGTTCCTCTTTTGTAAGTCGCTTTGGATAAACGTGTCACATTTATGCATGTCTTAATGCATAGATGTAATTGTTACTGACCCCAAAAGTAAGAATTTTAGGAAATTAATACTTTTATTCAGCAAGGGTGCAGTATTTTGTTTAAAAGTAACTGTAAAACATACTGTAATGCTACAAAAGATTTCTATTCTGAACTATATTTATCAAAGATAAATTGGGGTATTGGGGTTTCCACAAAAATATTAAGGAGCACATCTGTTTTCAGTATTGATGTTACTTGTTACTTGATGTGTGTATGTTACTTGAGCACCAAATCAGAATATTGGAATTATTTATGTGACTGAAGACTGGAGTAATGGCTGCTGAAAATTCTGCTTTGTTATCACAGAAATAAATTACATTTTAAAATATATTAAAATAATAATAAAAAAAAAGTTAGTTTTTCTATTCTGAACTATATTTATCAAAGATAAATTGGGGTATTGGGGTTTCCACAAAAATATTAAGGAGCACATCTGTTTTCAGTATTGATGTTACTTGTTACTTGATGTGTGTATGTTACTTGAGCACCAAATCAGAATATTGGAATTATTTATGTGACACTGAAGACTGGAGTAATGGCTGCTGAAAATTCTGCTTTGCTATCACAGAAATAAATTACATTTTAAAATATATTAAAATAATATAAAAAAAAAAGTTATTTTAAATTGTAAAAAAAAAATATATATATATATATATAGATCACAGTATTCACTTTTACAGAATTTTTGATCAAATGAATGTAGTAAGCATAAGGGGCTTCTTTAAAAACATTTATATCTCTTGCCAATCCCAAACTTTATACCATGGTACCATGTCCAAAAAAACATCATAGTTAAGAAAGGAGTGAAAAAGAAACTGTTGCTTCCCGCTCCATTCTAAGCCATTTATTTAGAAGTGTTCGCTCCTTATCCAAAGGCCCGGATTTCTATGAATATTAACGAGAGGAAACTTATTTGCAGTGACAGTCATTAACACTCTGAGATATGTGAGCTCAAAGGCAGAGCAGCATCGCTGGGGAAATGCAGTCAGTGTTTAGCTGGCTGCTGACCCAGATAGCTTACGGACATCTTAATCTTTGGCAGGCCAACTTGCTTATCGTCAGCTCAGCTTGTCTAAGAAGAGATATAACTCATTTTCAATTTTACCCTTCTTCCACCTCTGCACTTCAAAGTAAGTGTAATGGAAGTTGGTATGCAATAACGATATGAAGCAATGATATTACGCTAGCAATGATATTAGGCATCATATTCTGCATTAGACAAAAACCGCAGCTAGTCAAACTGTTTTATCCATAAATGGCCAACTTGGCATGGTTGACTATGATAAGTAGGCCATGGTGTTCCAAAGCATCACTATATACAGTAGGCAGGGTAGTTGGACTCAGTTTTGTTTCTTAAGATTGGCCATTGCCCTATTTTTACTAATGCTCGAGTGGCACAGATGTTGTTGTTCCAGTCAAATATATAGTGTGTTGATTTGGCCTTCAGGTGGAAGAGATCGCCGTGGAGGGCCAGTCCTTACATTTCCAGCCAGGAGTAACCATGACAGAATACGACAGGAGGACCTCAGACGACTTATTGCGTACCTTGCAGGCATTCCCAGGTATGCAGTGTGTGTGTGCGTGTGTCTTGATCTGTGTGAACATTATTATGCAACTAAAGTTGCTGTCGTAATAGATCAGGTTCAGCCATTTGAAACATTGAGGGATTGATCCCTTGGCAGCACAGGTGTGGAAGTCAGCCAGCTGCTGGAATTCTAAAATAACAATTCAGTCACCATTGTGTTCACCCTAGCTGCTCAAGGAAAGATAGACCAGCGTTTGATCTATTTTTGGCCATTTCATTTAAAATTGGCCATTCAGTAAAGGTGCAGTCACTTTGCTGGAGGAAATCAGCGAAACCAGTCATTTCAGTAGAAATCCATGTGATCGAGAAACCCAACAGTTTGATGTCAGTATGATTAGTTATATTATAATAGTAATTATATTATATTATATTATATATATATATTTTTTGAAAGAAATTCAAACAAAACAATTTCAGCAAGGATGCAGTATATTGATCAAAGTTAACAGTAAATGTATACTGTTACAAAATATTTATATTTACAATAGAACCTGTTGTTTTGAATTTTATATTCATCAAAGACTCCTGAGAAAAAAAGAAAAAAATAATTATCATGGTTTCCACAAAAATATTAAGCAGCACAACTGTTAAAATCAGCGAAACCAGTAATTTCAGTAGAAATCCATGTGATCGAGAAACCCAAAAGTTTGATGTCAGTATGATTAGTTATATTATATTATATTATATTATATATATATATATATATTTTTTTAAAGAAATCAAAACAAAACAATTTCAGAAAGGATGCAGTATATTGATCAAAGTTAACAGTAAATGTATACTGTTACAAAATATTTATATTTACAATAGAACCTGTTGTTTTGAATTTTATATTCATCAAAGACTCCTGAGAAAAAAAAGAAATAAATAATTATCATGGTTTCCACAAAAATATTAAGCAGCACAACTGTTAAAATCAGCGAAACCGGTCATTTCAGTAGAAATCCATGTGCTCGAGAAACCCAAAAGTTTGATGCCAGTATGATTAGTTATATTCTAATAGTAATTATATTATATTATATTATATTATATTATATATATTTTTGAAAGAAATTAAAGCAAAAAAAAATTCAGCAAGGATGCAGTATATTTATCAAAGTTAACAGTAAATGTATACTGTTACAAAATATTTCTATTTACAATAGAACCTGTTGTTTTGAATTTTATATTCATCAAAGACTCCTGAAAAAAAAGGGAAAAAATTAACATGGTTTCCACAAAATATGTATGCCATATATAGGAATCAGAATATAATAGAGACTTGTGAGTTGTTCGAGTGAATGCTAGGGCATTCTGTGTTTCCAGGTTGTTGCTAGAGTGTTTGGGTGGTTGCTATAGAATTGAGACAGTTGCTAGAGTGATTTGGTGGGTTACTAGAATGTTTCTAATGAAATGAAAACTGCTGCTCAAGAGAACATTTTCACAAGCAAGTTTTCATTTTGTTTAATTTAATTTATTTTCATATTTATATTCATAGACACGTCATGCCTATGGCAAGGAGATGGCTAAGCTTTCCTCGGTCTTACACACACTTTAACACTCAGAATACTTGCATACACCTTAGCATTGCTGTAAGCATCATTTGCATATTGCATTTTCTTCAGAAAACATTCAAGTCTAGTTAATGTATTTTTGCCAAGTCCTGGTTTTGGTTTTAAATTTTTGGTTTTGAAGCTCCCTGGTTTCTGGTTTGTTTAGACATCACATGGCTAATTTGACTTTTCCCTGTTGTGTCCATGTAGTTAGCATTGATTTGACTCAGTGAAACTCAACCAGCTCAACGTGAATCTCTGCTTTCAGCCAGAGGGTTCCAGCTCTGCACAGTTCATAACTTTATGTAGGTTATCATCTGCCGCAGGGTTCTCCCAAACTTTACTTCTCTTCTGTTGTCCATAATCGCTTTGTTTGAGCCACACTGAATAATACAGAAATGAAACTTCATCTTCTCGACAGCTGTAAACTCTTTTTTTTTCACTTTTGTACAGAATGTGGTGGCGGTTTGAAAATTAATAATGCACCGCTGACTAGAGATGCACCGATCGACCGGCCAGGGACCGGAATTTTCACATGATTGGCCCGGACCTGTGGCCAGCTAGTCAGTCTGTAGATTCTAAATATGTTAGAATCTGTTCTAAAGAAGACACAAAGTTCACAATTTGTAATACGTGTAACGTTAGGGCCAAAGTAAACCGTCGGGGATCCACAAAGCTCGATTAACGCTTGTCTGGGACAAGTAGGCAAGTGAGAGAGAATACTTGCCGGACTGGACAATGAATGACTAAATGACTCACTCATTAAAACAATCATTTGCCTCCACCTACTGGTGGTTTGGTTTGGTTTCATATTTAAAAGTATCATTGCATTTTTCCCAACATTTCTTATTTGTATGTTCCAAAAAATTATTTAAAAAATTAATATTTTACAATTATTTACGCATTTGCAATTTTGCAGTGTAAATGCATTTATGGCACCTCAGCTTCATCAAATAGTCTGTGTAAATACATCTAATGCCACTTCAGATGCATCTTCTGTGTTTCCTATAGTGGAAAGATGGAGTTTGTTGATACTGATTTTATTTGAATGGTAACAACTCTTAAGGTTTATTATATTATTCTGAATTAATTGAAACAATGTAAGAATTTGATGTGAAAGATGACATTTAATAATGTAAGGGAAATAAAATGAACATTTATAACCATCGTGGGAAATAAAATCTGTTTCGTTATATACAGCAACTCATTTTTAGTTCATTGTTATTTCTACCTCTTTCATGTCACAGAGCACTTTATTTTGAATAAATGAGAGAACATCTGTAACTTTGTCCAGATTGGGGGAATTGTAATGTTTAATAATTAATTTTATTATGTAAATATATATATATATTTTGCATTGGATAAAAAAGTAGATTTTTGTTTGTATATTTTGTCAATTATAGTTTTAAGAAAGAAAATCATAATCGGCAGGTCCCACTTACAAAAAAATCGAAAATCGGAATCGGCCAATAAAATTACAATTGGTGCATCTCTACCTCTGACCCTTTGCTTAGAAGCGCAGATATTCAGTTTTACAGTATGTTGGAGACCCAGATGTGGCCCCTGGTTATGAAAACAAGGAGTTTACTGAGGGAGTGTATAGACGCTTATGGCTGTTAGTTTTGCTGTCTGTTGTGTATCAGATAGCCAGGGGTGTAGATGTGTTGTTTGGCCTAAAACTGCAGATTTTAGGCCACATTGGTTGTCCTCTGTCACTCTTTCATGACTTTCCCTCTTCTGTTTCTTCACTCCTAAGACGAATTCTCATTCTTTCACACTGTAAAGAAATGTTCCTGACTCAATCCATCCCACATGCTGTCAAGCACCACATAAAATAATTATAACACGTCAATCAGTTCTTGAAATCAATCCCAACGTGTGTATATTAATACACTTACAATGTAGGTCTATTAGGCAAGGCATTGCACAAGGATAAATGTTTAAATACTTAACATTTACATTTATACCATGATCTAAATGCTCGATTCTGATTGGCTGGAAAGTGTGTGTTAAAACTGTGTAATGCACAGGTAGTTCCAGTCAGTTTAATAAATGTTCTATACAAATGTGCAGCCTTCATTTAAAGCACACACAAACACTCAGACCACTCACACACAGAGACTGGAGATCATTTTGTGCACAGAGAAACATTCAGGAGAACAGAAACTTGTTGTCAGTGCTGCCCCACAACATTTATAAGTTAATTTGCTTTGCTACTAACACACTACGCTACATTAAATTTCTCAGCAATGAGGTGGTAATGTTGCAGTTTTTGAAGTAAATAAACTTGCATGCACACAAACACACACACACAAGTACATGTTATAATTCATTCAAATAAATATAATCTTACCACACTACTTTATCTCTGTGTCTGATTTAAAGCAGGCAGAATGTTATACTTATAACTGACAAAAACAAATGTTATTTTTACCTTTCCGGTCTAGTTTTGCACGGCAAACTCAATAACAGATTCAACCTGTCAGTGCTGGCAAGTGACCATGGTGTAAGTGGGATGGTACATGATTTTTTTTTCATTATTTATTTATTTAACACCTAACTGTAGATAGATTGGAAAAATACATCCACAGGAATTATCAGTAACACAATGTATAAACCACTGAAATTTAAGATTTAAAAATCATTTAAATGTAAAACAATTGATACAAAATAAACAAGTTATATAAGCACTTAAAAATCACAGGCTTATTTATTATTTGAGATTAGTTTAAATTCTTAATTTCTTGTTCATGGTTTGTTTGTAGTACATTTGATACATACACTACCGTTGAAAAGCTTTGGGTCAGTAAGATTTTAAATGTTTTTAAAACTCCCTTGTGTTCGCCAACACTGCATTTATTTAATCAAAATACATAACAAATTTAAAAGAACTATTTTAATATATTTTCAAATGCCACTTGTTCCTGTAATGGCAAGTCACATAATCCTTCACAAATCATTCTAATATGCTGAGTTGGTGCTCAAGAAACATTCCCTACTGAAAACAGTTAACAGCATAATATTTCTGTGGAAACTGTGTATGTTACGGAAGAGGTCTGACACGACAGGTTAGTTTTATACAAAACAGTTTATTTGGTCACAGTGAGTACTGGTGTTGAGTCCGGAGGAAGACTCCTAGGTGTGACCAGGGGCGATTCGGCACTGGAAGGGGAAGGAGTTTGCCAGATGCTAAATGGCGCGGGCTTTTGGACATGGCACACTTCGGACATCCTTGCACGAACCTTCTCACGTCCCTTGCCATATTGGGCCACCAGAAGCGATCTCGTAGCAGCGAGAGGGTGTTGTTGGCCCCTGGATGGCCAGTGCCTCGGGAGGAGTGAGCAGAGTGAATGAGTGGGGTGCGCTGTGTCCGTGGTACGTAGTGACATCCTGGAGGATAGCCCGGTGGATTGTTAGGAGCTGTGTTGGAGGCCACTGGAGGGGAATTCCATTCGATTGGACTGACGATTATCTTAGGTGGGATGATGCTTTCCGGTTCTTCGGGGCCTTCTATGTGACTGTGAATACGTGACAAGGAGTCTGCCTTGACGTTTCTGGGACCAGGGCGGTAAGTAATGGTAAAATTGAACCTCGTAAAGAATCATGCCCATCGGGCCTCACGAAGATATTGGAGGTTCTTGTGGTCGGTTAGTACGGCAAATGAATGGGCTGCCCCCTCCAGCCAATGCCTCCACTCCTCTAGGGCCAGCTTGATGGCAAGGAGTTCTCTGTTGCCGATGTCATAGTTAATTTCCGCCGGGCTGAGCTTCCGTGAGTAGAAGGCACATGGGTGGAGTCTGGCTGGGTTCCCCTGCTGTTGGGACAGCACTGCCCCCACTCCTGTAGTGGAGGCATCCACTTCCACAACGAATGGGAGGTCGGGATCTGGATGGACTAGGAGTGGGGCGCTAGTGAAGGCTCTCTTGAGAGAGGAGAAGGCTTCTAAGGCCTCAGGAGTCCAGGACAGAGACTTGGGTTTCCCTCGGAGTAAGTTGGTGAGGGGGCTGGTGATCCTGCTGTAGCCAAGAATGAAGCGACGGTAAAAATTGGCAAATGGATGGAGAAACTTCCGGAGCACCTCATGCATGAAGTCCTGGATTGACATGGTCCCCTGTTGTAAGTGATAGAGTTGCTCTCCCACAGCGGCATCTCTGTCTGTCCTACCAAACACCTCGCGAAAATGCACGAGGAAGTTCTGCAGATCGTGAATGACGAGGCTGGCCTGAGTCCAGATCGTTTCCGCCCATTGCAGTGCAGGTCCTGTTAGCAGGGAGATAATAAAAGCAATTTTAGAGGTGTCGGTGGGATATGAATGTGGTTGCATCTTAAAGGTGAGATTGCACTGGAGGAGAAACCCGTTGCACTCCTCCGCCGAACCAGAGTAGGGCGCCGGTCGGGCCATGGGACTAGCGATGATGGTAGGCGAAGAAGTGCTGGTTGGGATGGAAGAGGTGGTTTTATGCAGGCTGGTAATGAGGTGCTTGATTGGTGACAGGTGCAGGTGCTCAGAACTCAGGTGAGAGGAATCGTTGTGATTGGGTGGTGGCGGAGCCTGGCCGATCTGTTACAGTGTAAGGTTGTTTTTTTTTTCCAGGATTTTTTGATGTTCTTTGAGTTTGAACAACAGCATAGAAATAATCTTTAACATTGTAAATATATTTAGTATCCCTTTTAAACAATTTAATGCATCGTTGCTTAACCCTCTACCGCATGGTGTAGCCATATGGCAACATACTCTTTGTGTTCATTTCCTTGCCACTGGTTCTTTTGCTTAAGTCACGTGACATTAAGTTTTTTTTTCTGTGGCGAGATTTCTGACAGGCTGCCGTCTCTTGTCGGTAGTTGCTGAAAGCAAACTAAAACGTCAGTAACAAACAAGGACCAGTCCATGTCACTTCTACAAAAAAATCTGTGTTCATTCAAAGAAAGGTTTTCCTATGAATTAATTAGTAGAAAAGTCCATTTCTACACTGCCTCTTGCCCTGGGACATGCAGGGATTTTCCCTGCTTTGCATTCCTTTGGCCAATAAACCCAGTGATAGCAGCGTTGGTTGCTATGGAACCAGGGGCCTGTTCGGCTTCCTGGGGTGTTACGCATTTCGGGGGGAAGGGTTCATAGGTCCTCATATGGCTTGTTAACTGAGGGGTGTTACAGAGTATTTGTTAAATATAACTAACAAAATATATATTGTGTGTTTGATTGGTCCAGACGCTACAATATAATCAAATTGAAATGGCAATTTTACTTTTGATTAAATATGAATACAGGTAACATTACATCAGTGAGCACGGCCATATTCTATGGCAAGGTAAAGAAGAAAAGGGCAGAACTGGCTCTTCCTGCACATGAAAAAACTGCTTTGTAAAGTTTCATACATAAAAAAAGTGATCTTTCAAGGATTATTGGGGGGGATGGGGGGCTCATGTTCACAGTCTTCCTCTCAAGAGACTGCATAATGCTGAATTTTCATAATATAATAATATAAGTTTTTTTTTTTTTTTTAAAACACAACAAAAAAATAGGCCTGCTTCAGATTTTAGAACAGTAGTGTACATATTTATCACCCCCACATTGTGCTACACTGTAAAAAATGACCGTGAATTTAACGGTAAAAGACTGTAAAAATGCTACAGTAAAAACCTGTTAAATGGTTAACGGTAAATTCCCCTACTATATACAGTGAAAAACTGTATTGGACATTACATGTATTGGACATAAATTTTACGGTTGTATACCGTTTTTGGAAGTGAAAAATACCATATAATTTAAAGTGAATAACCGTAAATTGGCATTCCCAGAATTCCCTGCGTTATTACTTCAATAAGTTGGTATATTAACATTATATCAGTTAATGAAATTACGGTATTTTACTGTAAATTTAAGTTAAAACCGTAAAACCTAAAACGTTGCTACCGTATTTCTTACGGTAAAATTCCGGCAACCACAGCTGCCGGTTTTTTACCATAAATTTTACGGAATTCTTTTTACAGTGTATCCCCTCTTCTTGTTTTCTCTCTTATCTCACCCTTTTCTTTCCGTTCTCTCTCTCTCTCTCTCTTTCTCTCTCTCTATCTCTCTCTCTCAGAGAGGGAGGTCAGAATTATTTAGAGTTGTTCAGTGCTCATTCCTGCTGAAGAGTCAGACTAGAGGAGTGCAGCTGTGGATATGAAAACCTTCTTGAGTTAACAGCCTGTTTTTCGTGCTAGAGAGCTCTTTAGTTAGCCCTTTTTTTACATTTATCTATTTATTTATTTTTTCCCTATTGCAGTCTTCTCTCAATTTAGCGAAAAAGGTTTCTTTATCTTTTATTTACTATTTTCGGGTAATTGTTATTTTTCATGCATGGTCCCTGCACATTATGATATGATATTTGATGCACTAAAATGTATTTTAATCAGATTTGTAGACTTGTCTGAAAGCAGCGGCTCTCATTTACATTTCTCTAATGATGTGAGTGTCAGCAGTGCAGAAGAGCTGATGCTGTGTTTTTATTTGTTTGTGTAGTGAGGAGGTGAGCAGACATGGCTTCACGGTCATCGTGGATATGCGAGGATCCAAATGGGACTCTATCAAACCTCTGCTGAAGATCCTACAGGAATCATTTCCCTCCTGCATACACATCGCTCTCATCATCAAGCCTGATAACTTCTGGCAGAAACAGAGGACGAATTTCGGCAGTTCCAAGTTTGAATTTGAAGTAAGGACTTTATATATAACGGATTTACATTTAATATAGTGATAGTGAATAAGAAGTTCTGTTTTTGGTAGATTCAGTTAGATATTGTATTGAATTTGTCTAAAAGTCTTTTGTGTGAGATCACAGAATCTTTCAGGGTAATAAATAAAAGAGAAAACACAGTCTACTTATGTTTTACTAGAACATTCCATATTGGTGGTGCGAAAGTAGAGCTGTCAAAATTACTTCTGACCTATTTCATTAAAGCTGAGAGGAAGACTCATGCAGTAGTGTTATATTTAATCTGAAGGCTTAATCTCCCAAAGGAGCTTTCTTAAATTAACACATCTAGTGCAGCACAACATTCAAAAGTATTATTACATTGTAATATATGTGTAATAGATACATACTAAGTGTTTATAACTGCATCACATATATGATTTGGAACTGTTTATGCCTAAACACTAGAAAATACTTCTAATTGCACTGATGTAATGCAGACCAGACTGTGTTGAAGGTCTGGTCTCTATCCACCATCAAGTCTCAAGCGTCCACTATCTCCTCATGTGTTTGCTGTTGTCTCTAATAACATGACCTGAGCTGCAATCTCTGGAATGTTTTTCTGGCTCCTTTAAGGAAAGTGTTCAGTGTAACTGATCCAAAAGGGTTTGCATTCATCATCCAATCTGTGTTTAATTGCATTGTTGTTTTAAATAACAACTTCAGCTTCTTGGAAACCTCCCACTGAGTCACTTACAAAACCGTTTCATTCAGAACCCAGAACTGCCAAAATATTGTCATACTTTGCAGTAATCTGTTTTGGTTGTTGTAAAGATGTCACAAAGATGCCTCACCCACATATAAAACAATACATTGTAATATTAAATTGCAAAAATGAAGACATGGCCAAAATGCGTAAAAAACAAACAAACTAAACTTTTCATTTGCAAACTATTAATAGTCAAGCAGGGTCACACTTTAGTTTGGGGACCAATTCTCACTATCAACTAACTAGTAACTACGACTTTTACCTCAATAAACTCCAAATTTTACCTTATTAGTTAGTAAGGTAGTTGTTATGTTTAGGTATGGGGTAGGATTCAGGGATCTATAATATGATCATGCAGAATAAGGCATTAGTTTGTGCTTATAAGTAAGGGATAATTAACGGCTAGCCATGCATTAAAGGATTTTAAATGCACGATGTGGAGGCAAAGAACCGCCTGTTGCGAAGTGCATTTAAAACCCTTTAATGCTCGGCTAGCCATTGATTATCCCACTTATTCCATGGTCATTTGCCAAGTTATAGACAAGTTAAAACTAGTATTGCTCTTTGCACCACAATATTTGACCGAATGGGTAAAAATGACAGTTATTTTCGTCAGTTACGGCACGTTAGCGCTGGCATTCTGCCCGCTTCAAATCATACACAGAGATGAAATAGTGTGGTAAGACCACATTTATTTGAATGATTTATAGCATGTATTTCAATTAATTATCGATCGATCGAGAGAGAGAGAGAGAGATGCCAGTTGTGTGTACCTGTTTGCTGCGTCTGTGCGTCTCTCTCTACAAACAATTACTTCAAACAAAGCGATTTTATGACCTCGTTGCTGGGGAATATAATGTAGCGATCTAGTATCTAGGCTATTTTATTAATAAAAATCACGGGGAAGCATTGACAACAAGTTTATGTGTGTGTGTGTGTGTGTGTGTGCAGCACAATCAGTGATCTCTGACCTCTCTCTCTGTGTGTGTGTGTGTGTGTGTGCGAGTGATGCATCAATGATGAGTGATTCAATGATGAATTGATGAGTGGTGCATCAATTAAAGGTGCGCATTAATATAGAACGGTGATTAAACTGACATAGAACTACCTGTGCATTAAACGGTTTTACTGCATACCTGCCAGCCAGTCAGAATCCAGTATTCAGACAGACCATGGAATAAGTAAGGGATAATGTACATCCAGCCAGTTGTTATCTCAGAATAAACCCAGACAGGGTGATCAGGACCCTGACGCGAAGCTGAGGGGTCTTGTATCAGCCTGAAGGGGTTTATTCTGAGATAACAACCGGCTGAGGGTGATCAGGACCCTGACGCGAAGCTGAGGGGTCTTGTATCAGCCTGAAGGGGTTTATTCTGAGATAACACCCGGCTGGATGTACATTATCCCGCTTATTACATGGCTACTTGCCACATAAGTAAATAATTAGACGCGAAATATTGAGTTGAAATATTTGAACGCAAAGCTTCTGTGAAGACAGCAGTTGCGAGCAAGCGGCAAATTCAAACTAGACGGACATTTAAGGGAAACGGTGCAGTCAACCCACTTATTACACAACATTTCACCACAAAAATAATTAAGACAATAAAAGAATTAAGACGAAAAATTTTTAAAACCCTACCAGTTTGTTAGTTCTCTTATAATCCATTACAGCGTACAAAACAATCTGAAATATTTGAATGCAAGCTTCCGTGAACACAGCAGTTGCGAGCAAGTGGCAAGTTCAAACTTAACGGACATTTAAGGGATACGGTGCAGTTACACAACATTTCACCACATAAATAACTATGGCGATAAAAGATTTAAGATGAAAATGTTTAAAAATCTTACCAGTTTGTTAGTTATCTTATAATCCATTACAGCGTACAAAACAATCATAGCAAAATGGCAGCAGTTGCGTTTGTATGAAACGAGAGCAAGTCTGCGATACCAGGATGACATAATTAAATAATTGTACACCATTCTGAATCGAGTTGTAATATTTTATTAGCTAAACAAACGCAAAGCTTCCACTAAGAAAAAATAGTTCAAGCAAGAGTACAGCGCCGACTGCTGTTACCCGGATGAGCCTGTGTTATTAGCTTTTACCGGTTGTTATCGAGGGATAGCATACCTCGGAATGTCGCGACTGACCAATCAGAATCAAGTATTCCACAGAGCCGTGTAATAATATAGTATACATTTTGTGATGATACAAGCAATCAAGCATTTGAGATTTACTGTATAATATATATGCCCTATGTATATGGATAAAGTTGGACATACTTATATGTCTTAAGGCCAATTCACACTGCACAGACAAACACCAACAAACAAGCTGACGGTTAGATTTAATAAGTTAGTTAGAATTTTATGAAACATAACTGTAATGTTCACACTGCCCCAACAGACATTGACAAATGCTGACTGAACATGTTCACTCAGGAGAACACAAACCCCAACCAACGCCAACAGACGCTGACAGGGGTAACACACTGATCAGACAAAACCCAACACTCATGTTTGTTGGTGTTTGTCTGTGCGTTGTGAATTGGCCTTTATATGTATATTTATAAACTAACATTAAAATGAAAATTGAAAATATAAAATAAATGCAATTCAAAATATTAGTAAATAATATAATTGTATATAAATAATAGTGGCAGCATTTAAGGGCATTATAGAGACACTCTAGACTGTCCTCAAAAGCTCAAAAAAGTTAAGTCTTTTAATTTAGAGCGTTTCTGTGCCATACAGAGTTACTGCATATGTAGATTGGTAAAGTGTTCCATGGGGTTCAATTTCAGTTAGGATGAAGTTAAACTAAATGAAAATGAGAAATGTTAAATAGAGGAAATCAAAAAATCTGATACATTCAGAATATGAACCTAAGTGTCCTACTTTCATCTTTTCAGACCATCATGGTGTCCCTTGAGGGTTTGACCAAAGTGGTTGATCCTTCCCAGCTGACTCCAGACTTCGAGGGCAGTCTGGATTATGACCACGAGGAGTGGATCGAAGTTCGAGTGGCCTTTGAAGACTTCATGAGCAATGCCGCTCGCATCCTTTCCCGTTTGGAAGAACTCCAGGACTTGGTGTCCCAGCGGGAGCTGCCGTCAGACCTGGACGGGTCTCGGCGTGCTATGGAGGAACACGCCTCCCTGAAGAAAAAGGTTACTAAAGCTCCTGTGGAGGAGTTAGATGCTGAGGGTCAACGCCTGCTTCAACGAATCCAGGGTGGGGAAAAAGGCAGAGGAGATATCCAGGGATTAGCTCCAAAAGTCCAGGCACTTCTGGATAAACTCCACGCCACACGACAACATCTGCACCAATCCTGGCACATGCGCAAAGTCAAACTGGATCAGTGCTTCCAGCTGAGACTCTTTCAGCAGGATGCAGAGAAGGTATGAACATGCATTATTATATGTGAAGTTTAATAGGGAGAAAACCGGATAGTTTTACGTATAACATAGGACTAGGACCATAACATAATATGGAAGATATAACCTACAAAGATACTTCTTATTTATAATTTATTTAAATTTGTGTAATGTTATAAACATTTTGTCTTAAAAATCCTAACAAAAATACACTCTTAACAGTACAACGTGATACTAAATGATTAGTGTGTTCGTGTATTTGCATGCTACCAAGTTGTGGGGCGCATATATATATATATACATATAAAATGATTAGTGTGTTCGTGTATTTGCATGCTACCAAGTTGTGGGGCGCATATATATATATATACATATATATATATATATATATATATATATATATATATATATATAGTAACAAAAAATCGTATTGACCCCAAACATTTGAACAGTGTCTGAAATGTAAGTTAAATATTTTGTACCAGTCTTTTATAGTGATATACAAGCATTACAGGGAAAGCCAATTACTATTTATATACTATTCTAGCTATTTTTTTTGTTTTTAAATAGTCCATTTAATAGTCAGAATTTCTTAAAAATTTTAATAAATAATACAAAATACAACAAAATCATTTGATATAAGTCATCAAATAATACCAAAGATTAGCAAGACTTTATGGAATCCTTTGAAACTTCACTAGTCATGTGAAGTTTCAAAATCAGGAGCAAATCCTTTAAAACTTCACTAGTCATGTTTTGAGGGTGCACAAAAACTTTAATACAATGCTGTTTCTTTATGAGAGTGAAGTTGAAGAATAACATAAAAACAGCATTTCATAGTCCATGCCTTCCATTTTTCCTCTCAACAGATGTTCGATTGGATTGTCCATAATAAAGGCCTGTTCCTGACAACCTACACAGAGATAGGACCCAACCATCAGCATGTGCTCGAGCTGCAGACCCAGCACAACCACTTTGCAATGAACTGCATGGTAAGGCTCTGTCCAGTGGTCCAGCAGTAATATGTGTTACCACCTGAGGCGTTATAACAGTGTAGCTTGATGTGTGTTACATCATTTAAATGATGTGCATTTGTACACGTGCCCTGACTCACTTAGTCATGCAAGAATGAATTTTCTGTTGTCATATAATAGTCATGTCAATATATGCTTGAAGGGTATATAATGCCACAGGAGAACAGTCATGCGCAGATACTTAACATCACATCACATCACGTGTGTGTGTGTGTGTGTGTGTGTGTGTGTGTGTGTACGTGACCCTGGCAGACATGTTAATCACCCCCAGTAGGTTTCAAAGGCAGAGTTTCACAAGAAAATGGCATGGCATCAATCACTGATTTTCCATCTCTATGGTCTCTTCTGCCATCTGCCCATCCATATCTAAATGTAACTGCTGTTCAGCCAATAGGAAGAGTCCACAGCATTTATCTTCTTGCAGTGTGTCCTCATTCAAATGACCAGTGTAGTGCTTTCATATGTTGGGAAATCATAGAGAATGTTCTTTCTCAAATTTGAAGGATATAAATCTGGTAACACTTTTAACTTTCATTAATAAGTCATTAAACAGTAATAATGATTTAATAGACCAGTAGTTGACATACATTTATGAATATATATATATATATAGTATATATATATATATATATATAAAACATCTTTAATCTTTAAGTCATTAGGTTTAATGACTTCAAACTAGATTTTTAGATTTTTCAGGGAAAATTTAAGTGGTGCTTGCCCTTGCAAAACTTAAAGCACACTTTGGGTATCATTCCTGAAACACAGGCAGAATACATTTGTATTTGTACATTTGTACATATTGCATTTGTAAAACCATTCAGATATAAATCTTCATATTTATGAAATTGTTACTTGCTCCCAACTGTGCTTAAATTGGGCATAAAGCATTACCCTTTTTAATGCTCAAACTGATGACATTGCATTTTGATAACACTATTTACCATGATAATATACAGTATAATAAAATCAATTGGTTAACCATTGAGTTAAAAGCGAAAATACATTTCATTGATAAACTAAAAATAATGTATTGATTTTTTTTAATGATCTTGCACAGCACTCTATTTACCAATAATTGGAATTCATTAACATACGCATGTTTAAATATCAAATCTAAAGTTTATGAAACGTTCGCAAATCCAAGGGATAGTTTTTGGATCCAATTTACCCCCAAATTACTCTGAATTTAATTTCATGAATAAGGCAGTTAAATTTATTAGTATTAAAAGCAACAGTGTGCTATTTATTTGATTATTTTATTATATTAATTTTTTGTTTAGTTTGTATGAAAACATTTACATAAACAATTAAGAAAAAAACTTGATATAGTAGATATAGAAATGAAAGAGTTCTAGATAAACAATTAAGAAAAACAGGTCACACTTTATTTTAAGGTCCAATTCTCGCTATTAATAAACCATTAACTATGACTTTTACTATCTAACTATGACTCAATAAACTCCTAATTTGCTGCTTATTAATAGTTAGAAATGAAGATGTTAAGTTTAGGTATTGGGTCGGATTAGGGATGTAGAATATTGTCACGCATAGCTTTATAAGTACTAATAAACAGCAAATATGTTAATAATAGGCATGCTAATACTAAAGTATTACCAAGAACACTATAGATATGGACACAAAACAGATTTGGATAAATAATAAAGAAACATAAGTATGGAAATAAAGCAGATTTTCAAACAAGTAAGAAGACAAACAATATAAATATGGGGAAAAAATAAGTGTAGATAGTAGAATGTTACTGCAGCTAAATACAGAGCTCTGGCATGAAACTCTAGATGGTGCAGTCCGATAGGTCTAGCTCAATCTGACTTAGCGACATCATTGTCACATGGTAGCTGATTGGTTCTCTCCTGTATATTGGTAGCCAATGAGCTTACTGCTCAATATTCAGATACCTGGTTTGTGTTTGCTGTAGCAGTTTGCAGTGCATTTCAGAAACCCTCCACCTTCCCCAGCTCCACCTGTATAGATCTGCTACGGGGTGATTCATGTATGCTATGGTTGTTATTCATATGTGTTATATGTGCAGCAGTGGATTTATTGGCAGTAGCAAGTCTCGGTACTTGCTCTGCCACAGCAGCAGCGTAGCAGATCTATTCAGCCAAGGCCAAATACATTAACATTGTCATGTACATTACCATGCCAATCCCTCCGAGAGTTATCATGACAGAACTGTTATTATTACTATTTTCATGCATTTGTGTTCTCCGCCCTCACTAATTTTCATAACTTTTAAGGTTGCAACCCTTACCAATTGCTAGGATGTTTTTATAGGTTTTCATCAGGCTCTTTGTTGCTCTTTTGTTAGTGTGTTAGGTTTGGCTGAGTGTGCTAAAATCACATGTCCTGCCTCAGCTGTGAGAACAGTCCACCCCCTCTCACGTTGCTATAACTGTGCACAACTTAACGGATGAAATGCTTTGTCAAATGTTTGCTTTGGGTTAGCCTGACTGCCGGGCAGCCGGGAACACTACAGCCACCTCCTCAGGACGTCCTGAGAGCCTTACTTCTAAAAGCCTATGAGGCATGAATGGGCATAAACACTTTTTTTGTTAACTTGGTCATACTTATTTTTTGACAAGGCGATAATGCACGTCTTGTGTTTATCGTGTTTATCACATCCTTTCTTACCTCACACAACTAAAATACTTTGTCCGGAGTGACTCTTTGATGTTATGATCACTGGAAACTTCTGAAAATATTTTAGTTTTGTAATAAGCAATAATGCTCTGTTCTGATAGACCACTAAGACACCATTGGTTCCTACAGTTTAACCCTGTAAAGCCTGACATGTGTATGCAATAATAATAGTCAGAAATATAGAATTTTAAAAAAATTAATCAGTTTACTGAAGCTTTAGACAAAAAAAATTGCATATGTTTTTCTGTTGAGTATCACATTTGATACTTTTATGGCTCACATAGGAGATGATATAGGAGAATATGGCGCTCGTACTCAAAGAGGGGGAAAAAAGTTTATTCAGAGGCCCAAACTGAGCAAAAAATATGCAATTTGGTGCAGTGACAGTGGCCAAAAAGTAAGATAAAAATTCTGATGCCATGTAATTGTAATGAAAATCAGTAAGATCTTTATAACAGTGTAGCAGACTGTTTACATAAAATGCACAGAAACATTAGATCAATAATAGTAATATTTCAATAATATAATATTTTAATAATAATAAAATAATATAATACTAATAAGTCTCAGTAAGATGATATTTAAATGCTTATTTTTATGATCAAAGCTCTGTAGTTTTTATTATGGGAGGGCAAAACATACAGTACAATGCAATGCACTACATTGATGATTGGGAGATGTACAAATAAATGTTCCTCAAAAGCCTGATGTATCATATTTGATGCTCATATTTTAACATGATTTTTTTGGGGGGGAAAAATGTGAAAATATGTATAAATAAATAAATAAAATAAAATTAATAATAATAATATATATATATGGATAATCAAGTAAACTTAAGTTGCTTCACTCCAGTAAATATTCATCTTGAAATATTGCTAACAATATAAAAGTTGTTTTTATATTACCTACTAAAATCGGGAAAGATTTCACAGAACCACGACCAAAAAACAAACAAACAGAATGCGTGCTTTGATCTTGTTTATAATTAGGAATATTTCGAAAATTTTGGTGATGATACAGTAGGCTTGGGGTTAATAGCCTGCAGGTTCTGTGGCATTTGCCACATTTATTGACAGTAATTCAATAGGCGATTTATGGAGATGTCAATGTTCATCACATGGCACACTGGGGGCCTGGTTGTAACCTTTCGTAATAGACATGCTTAAGCAGCTATGTCATTGAGTTCCAGGGGTAATGTCACCTGAGTGGAACGTTACGCTTGTCAAGTTGTAAATGAACTCAGCTCCCACTCTCTTATGAAAGACAATCTGGAGGACAACATGTAGAAAACACTCCTCTGGCTAAAGGCATTTTACACATGGCTGGGTAATCTCCCATCATGCTGGTGTATTGATTAGTCCCAGAGATATCCAGAGGGAGATATAATGTTCCAGACACTCCTTCTCTAATCATCCTGTAGTTGTAAGAGAAAAGAGGGTTTCTGTAATAATATTAAACCTGGGAGTCTGAGAATGAAGGGCAGACTGTACTTGCGTGACTCTCTCTATTTAAGTAGACTGCAGGGTCCAGTACTGTCATGAAGTGTGAGGAAGGCTTTTGTTCTGCGGTATGTGTGTTTTGGCTGTGTTCAGGTCCTGTAATATGATCTGTGCAAATGTAGGTACTGTAGAGCACTTCCTTCGTCTGTATTAAGTTTGAGCTCAAGTGACTTGACATTTCAGTCTGTTTTAGGAGTGAGATAATGCCTGATGGTATTGCAAAAGTTATTTATATCCAAAATGTAGTTGTTCCAGGTGCTTAACCAAAATACTTATGTAAAAAAAAAAGTAAAAACAATCATCGGAGCAGTGTATGTGTGAATGAGTATTTTTATATGGTATTACAACAAAACATAAAAAATAAAAAAGTAAATATAAAAATGGAATGTGTGTAAAATTAAATAAAAATATATACGCACAGACACTACTGTTCAAAAGTTCAAAAGGGAACAGCAATAATACTTTATTTTGAGCAAGGATGTATTAAATTGATCAAAAGCGACAGTAAAGGCTTTTATATTGTTTCTAATAAATAAATAAATGTTGTTCATCACAAAATGTATCTCAGATACCACAAAAATATTAAGCAGCACAACCGTTTTCAACTGTGATAATCTTAATCTTTAGAAATGTTACTTGAGCATATAAGAATGATTTCTTATATAAGAATGGAAACAGTCATTTAAAATGATTATATAATTTCACAATATTACTGTTTTACTATGATTTTGAATATAAATGCGCATAAAAATCTTTCTAAAACATAACATATATGTTTGCACTATGCAGATACAATTTACACTTTGTTCGGTATCATTTCTGCAACAAACGTGATTCTTGAGTTGTGTAAATATATGTAAATCATACAAACTGATTTTATTTGATGTACCCTCCATGTGAAAGGGTATTTTGGTCAATTTTGCTAATAAACCACAGGCTGGTCATTGACATGACAATAGCATCTATAATATTTAGCATATGTTTAGCCAGAGTTTACTTTAAGCTGCTTTAGATTTACATGAAAATGAGAAACCAGAAGCTCTTAATTGTTTCCATGATGCGAGCCACAAGGCCTGTCATGCATAACAGAGGGATTTGATGAATTTGGGATTACTGGTGCATGTCTATCTTCTCCGAGCAGCTCTGAAACCAAGCTCGGCGTGAGTGAGTGATATAGAGTTAGTAACCCTATTTTCCATCCTGACTTCATCTGGTGGAAATACATTTGTGCATGTGGGCACCAGTGGCTTGTCTTATCTACATATGCAGGCTGGATTATGTAGAAATGGTCATCTTTAAAATGAATTTTTATTTTTTTTTAATTGACAACAGATTTAGTGGGTGGGCACATGTGCACATGTGCACAGTTCATAGAATTATCCATGGGTGAGTGTGTGTGTTTATGTGTCGTATGTTAATGTGTAACAGACGGGTGCACTGATTCACATCAATAACAATAATAAAAAAATAATAAAATTACTGATATAATCACCATAGTATTGTGCATCCATTGCACATTGTATTGCACTCTGACTTTTTGTGTGTGTTTTATATGTGACTGTTATTGCTCCAGGTTTTTACGTGCATGGACATGACTGCTGCAGTTTATTGTTGCACGCAGGCCATTATCAAACCCCCATCAGGTCTTCATCTGACAGCTCTCTGTGTATTGATCCTCTACCCTTTTGAATGCCTCTGGGCTGTGTAATTAGCCCCATATGAGGAAACAGCATGGTAACCAGAGCTCTACGTTCTACCAGCACTCTCATGCACTAGACTTTAGTTCTCCCTAAAGAACATGCATACCTCAGACGCTCCCATTACGTCAGAGAGCAAACACTTGCTTTCTCTGATTATGTGATGTGTTTCCTGGTGAAACAGAGTATTTAGGTGGAAATAATGTAGGGTGGAGCTTGATTCTATCCAAAGACTGATTGAAAGAAAGATTGGATAGGGAAAAATTATGCTGTGTGGTGTTACTGGTTAATATTGTTTTCCCCAGCCACTGAAAATGTAAACATTTGGATTTTCTCCGATGCGTTCTACATATTTACTGCAATGTGTGATGATTTATCAAAAATATAACTCAACAACAATGAATTGAAAATATTAATTTCTTATCATGAAAATGTGTATTTTTAATACTATAGAAAAGCAAATGCACATTGTATGATAACCATCAATTTTTATACCATGGCATACTGTGACTGGGTCATCGTTTTTTATCTGTTAAGATATTTTGTGTCAGAGCTATGAGCAGTTTAACATGCTGAACGTTTGTTTACAGTGCATTTTCATAAGTTGTAGTTTCAGTTGTTAAAGGGATAGTTCACCCAAAAATGAAAATTCTGTAATTAATTACTTACCCTCATGTCGTTCTAAACCCGTAAGACCTCCGTTCATCTTCGGAACACAAATGAAGATATTTTTGATGAATTCTGAGAGCTCTCTGACCCTCCCATAGTCAGCTGCGTCATGTGGGTACATTGTTTTCGTTCAAATCAAAGCGTAAACAACGTAGACAACGTATCCGCGTGACGCAGCTGACACAGAATAGCATGCGCTGTTTATGTTCAGTGGATACTCTCTAAAATGGGTGACGTGGAGGAGAGGAATTGTTGAATAAAGTTGTTATTTTTGTTTTCTTTGCGTACAAAAAGTATTCTCATAGCTTCGTAAAATTACGGTTGAACCCCTGATGTCACATTGATTTTTTTAACCGATCTCAATGCTACGTTTCTAGACCTTGATCGTGGTAATTACATTGCTGCCTATGGGAGGGTCAGAGAGCTCTCAGAATTCATAAAAAATATCTTAATTTGTGTCCCGTCTTACGGGTTTAGAACGACATGAGGGTGAGTAATTAATGACAGGATTTTCATTTTTGGGTGAACTAACTCTTTAAATCACACTGGAACATTTATTTTATTGGCTGAAATGGGTAGATCTGAACTCTAACCATAATTGTTCCTCTTGGCCAGTACCAGTACCACATACCCCTTGTATAGTATAAATATGTCCCCAAAAAAAAATTAATTCAGGAAGTTATGCAGTGTATACAGAACTCAGTGTTTCTTGTGGTCTTTTGCAGAATGTGTATGTGAACATCAGTCGGATCATGTCCGTGGGGAACAGGCTGCTGGAGTCAGGTCACTATGCAACCCAGCAGATTCAGCAGATCTCAGGTCAGCTGGAACAGGAGTGGAAAGCGTTTGCCGCTGCACTGGATGAGAGGAGCACGCTGCTGGACATGTCTGCTAACTTCCACCAGAAAACTGACCAGGTGAGGCCTAAATGTGCAGACGCATGTACCTACAGATACATTGAGTGGCCAAGCAAACTGATGCATTGATGATGATGATGATGATGATGTAGTGTTAATTGTTAATTACTACAACTAATAACAAACAAAATTCTATGCAATATATTGTCCAGATGCTGTAGTAGCAAAAATATTCAGCCAAATCGAGTTGCTGAGTAAGTATGTACTGTATGCTAGAAAGGATTTCAGATTTTAAAGAATGATGTGTTGTTCACATACTTCAATTTTAAAGCCTTTACACTAGGGCTGGGCGATAAATCGATAACGATAATCATCGCGCAATATAAATTTCCTCGCTAAATGATAACAAGGGTTTAATAAATGTTCGATATAATGTTTGCGGCAAAGGCAGAACGAAAGAGCGCTAGTCATTTGAAGCGCGCCGCTCGGAGCGTTTATCCGCTCGGATCAAAGTTCAAAAAGCAGCGCAAGCTTCACCAGCCCTGCGTTCCATTCAGAAGGGCTCATCCCTGTGCCCTAATCCCTTCAAAGGGTTTACCCTTCGGAGTGAGAGCTTCGAAGGGTTGCAGGGTGTAGGGGACCAAACAACTGTTGAAGTGCCCTTCTGCGTCATCATCACGTGCCCACACAGAGGCACCGTCATCATGCAAAGAATCTGTGCAAAGGATCATGGGAGCCCGAAGTGTCCATCAGTTGTACCCTTCGATATCCTTCATTCCGAAGGGCCCTTTGAAGTGGACAGTTTTGAGCACTTCGCTTTGGAATGACCCTTCAATATGGCGGCCATGATTGTTTTCACTTCGAAGTGCCCTTCAGAGGGCAATATATCCCGTTTGGAACGCACGGTAAAGCAGATGCATTCACTCGCTGATGAGTCTCGGTCATGTGACCACTGAACAGCGCTGTGAGATCCCGTGTGAAGCGCTTGAATTCAGTGAGGAACACAAATCATTCTGTTTACAGCCAGATGAAACAGCGCTGACAAACAGCAGAAACACTGTGCACAATGAATCAATCTACTGATTGATTTAATCTGATCTGATTTAATCTACAAATTGCCATCATTTACTGAAGTAGACGGCCACCGGGACAAGACCACAGGAACCAGTTGAGTCCTCTGCTCAATGTGACTTTGCTGCAGCCTGGAATTGAACTGCTGGTTTCATCTGGCCAGAGGAGAACTGGCCCCCCGACTGAGTCCGGTTTCTCCAAAGGTTTTTTTCTCCATTCTGTCACCGATGGAGTTTTGGTTCCTTGCCGCTGTTGCCTCTGGCTTGCTTAGTTGGGGACACTTCATTTCCAGCGATATCGTCGACTTGATTGCACAGATACTATTTAAACTGAACTGAGCTGGATGATGACATCACTGAATTCAATGATGAACTGCCTTCAACTGAAAATTGAGTGTTTACTATTGTCATCTTGCATTAATGACACACACTTTTCCTGATTAATGCTGTACAGTTGCTTTGACACAATCTGTATTGTTAAAAGCGCTATCTAAATAAAGGTGACTTGACTTGACTTGACTAGTAGCACTAACTGCACCACGGTATTGTGTCAGAAATGTGGGTATTCTTGTCGAATATTATTAATGAAGACATCTATTAAATGTGTTGTAGGAGGAGTAATGGAATAATTACAGTATTTTTTGTGATTAAGCTATAGCGTTTATGCATTTATAAATTAATTTAGACTACTGTTTTTCATAAATACCTACAAGCCATATTAAATTTGTACCATGGTATTGAGGTGCTATGTTTGTGGTTTTAACTCATGATTTAAATGTATGCTACTATGGAAGACCAATGGTTAAAAAACACCTCAAACTGTCAGAATAATTAAATTTTACCATAAAAAATTTGATTGCTAATTTCTTTTTACAGATATTACTGATTTTGATAATGAACATAAATCTACATCTGCATCCAAACTCAAGCTACTATCACGTGTGTATTTCTAAGAGACAAACAAATGTTATATTATTAATATTATCAGGCAACACAAACTTGTTTCTTGATTTGAAACAATATTACTCTTTACTAGAACATGCAGAACTAAGAAATATTTTTTTTTTCTATTAAGATATTTATTTTAAGGAAACATGACTGGAAAAGTTTAAAGAATCCAAAAACTAAGTGATTGTCATGTTCTGACTATAAAGAACAGTTTAAAACCACAATTAACCATATGGTTTTCACAACTTTCACATTGGAACAAAAATCTGCCTTTAAGCTTGAAAGAAATAAACATTTTACAGTAATCGTGATAATTATCGATATCGACTAATATGGAAAAAAAATTATGTGATAATTTTTTGGCCATATCGCCTAGCCCTACTTTACACCAAATGGAACCCAATTAAATAGCAAAAATAACTAATTCCAACAAAAAAATGTTTTTTGTGTGATTCCAAACACAAAAACTCATACCCACTTTTTCATCTGTTTTCCGTTATTCAGAAAAACAAGTTGTCAAGTTGTCTCAAACTCACATCACAGGCTAGGGTTACATGTCGGAGGCATATGTTGACATTTTTGACCACTCACAAATTTTTTAAGAGCACCGCAAGCCACACTTATTGCACTTTTCAGGAAGTCGGTCTATATACACAGGCAGACTAAACTATGTTTGTGTTTTTTTTTCTTCTAGTGTAAAATCTTGGATGTTTATTACTTGTTTTATAAGTGAATCATCAATGATTGTTCAGAGACTCTTTAGTTGAATGCTTGATGTAGATAGGCCTGTGCTGGAAAAAGGATGAATGAAATCTGTTCCTTTCATCTTTTGGTCCTTTATCTTTCTCTTTGAGCATTTAATATCTGTTGTCAGCATCAATAATAGACTGACATGCTGTTCATTGAGTTTATTTTGCTCTCAATGAGACAGGGCAAAAATAGTTTTTATTTGTACAGACAAATTGCAATGTATTTATTCTTTTCCTAAACAAGATACTGTTAAGAAACACTCAGTGATGGATGACCCAAAGTTAGCCTCCTAACAACAATTGCTATGTTGATACAATGATTGTATAATCATTCCAGTATGTAGTAACAGATCGCAGATGTGTATGTGGCTGGTTTGACAACCAATTACTGAATATTCTTGTCTTTTTCTAGTATATGAGCAACATGGACTCATGGTGTAAGGCCTGTGGAGAGGGAGAACTTCCTTCTGAGCTACAGGACCTGGAAGACACCATCCACCACCACCAGGGTCTCTATGAGCACATAACCACTGCCTATTCTGAGGTACACATCTCTTGTGTCCATTAAAGTAAAAACATGTTACTAGTGTTTGTGAATAGTTTCACCTTAAAGACTAAATTCAGGATACCTCTAAGCTGAGCAAGAACTAAGAACAAATATTTAGTCATGACAACTCTTGGAATAGTTTTTCTTCAATATAATGATGCTAATGTAGTTGGTCTTGGCGGACTAGATCTGCTATGCACACAGCTGCTGCTGCAAGTCAAATATGGATTTGCTATACACAGACATGTTGCTGTGAGCTTGTAAGATATGCTGCTGCTGCTGCATGGGTAGACACATATAAATCCCATAGCAGATCTAGACAAGTGGAGCTGGGGGAGGTGGAGGGTTTCAGGGGAACTCTGATGGTGTGCTGCAGGACCAACTTACAGTGAACACTGAACCAGACTATTTAAATGGTGAGTAAGCAAGCTCACTGGCTGCAGAGCAGAGGCCAGTCACCTTGTGCTGTGTAGATGTGATTGCTAGCATATTGCATGTAAAGGAACATGTAGATTTTCACGACTGAACTGGATTTTCAAATGAAGGTGGGATTTTTTTCTGCAAGTAACATCTTTGGGTGTTATCTGTGTTATCTGTACATCCTCAGGTAAGTCAGGATGGCAAAGCCCTACTAGATAAGCTACAACGGCCTTTGACCCCAGGGAGTGCAGATTCGCTGACATCCTCGGCTAACTACTCCAAGGCAGTGCACCATGTTCTGGATATCATTCATGAGGTTCTGCATCACCAGAGGCAGTTAGAGAACATCTGGCAACACCGCAAACTTCGTCTTCACCAACGGCTACAGCTCTGCGTCTTCCAACAGGATGTCCAGCAGGTCGGACACTTATCCTTAACTAAAAATACTTTATATACAAATTATTATAAACACTGTTTTTTACATCCCATGTGGATGTGGTTTTTAATTTATTGCATTTATTCACTTGTTATTTGTGAAGTGAGAGATGTTCAGGGTGGATGAGGTGTCAGAACGTTGCAGGAGACATCTGTGCGGGACAGATTTTTTCATTTCATTCTCGCCCACTTCCCACAAGTTTCTTCTTGCACATGCCTATTTCCACAGAATTTTACTTTCTGATCGCAGTGATTTTGATCTGCCTGCTTTCACTTAATTTTGGTCGGGTTTAGGACGTATTTTCTCCCATCAAGCTGAAGTAAATAATAATAAATATATATATTTTTAATTTTCATATATATATATATATAGTTGCATTTTAAAATGTAATTTATTACTGTGATGGCAATTCTGAATTTTCCACAAAAAAAACATTCTAAATATAAATTGATGTGGCAAAACACAAAATGATTAATGAGTTTGATTTATGAATATGCATATGACAGTGTGACACTAAAATGAGTCCTGCTCGTAAATGAGGTGAATCTGGTCGAATCTCTTCTCTTTGTCTGAATGAAATGACAGCATCTGAATGCCTGTGAGGCATCGTTATGTTGAATATAAAGTGAGTTCTGTAGGATTTCACTGCTAAGTTAAGAACAAATATACATTTAAAAGTGAGATTTTAGGCACCACTGCATTAAATTGTAAACATGCAATTGTTGACAGGAATGTTTTTTATTTTTTATTTTTTTCTTTCTTTATTTTTTGGATGAAATATTTGCATTTTTCTTTTTCAAGTAAAATTTTTTTTAAGGAGTACACGGTCTGTCCCACACTATGTTCCTACTTTTTTTTTTTTACTTAGTATTTTTCTCTCAGAAGCATTCAGTATCAGTTGTCATGGTAACTGTGTTCAGCAGCCTCATTATGTTGAGGGTTTGCCCCATAAAATGATGCAGGCATTGGGGACCTCTAAACCTTCCAGACATCAAAAAACAGCCACGTGAGCAGGAGACTCAACATCTGCACAACAAATGATTGCTTCTATTCACACGCGCACACACATGTGCTGACAGATGTCACCACACAAACAGCTCTGAATGTTTCTGTGTGTGGCACATTCAGCCAGATCAAAGGTGGCATAATGAAATATGCATGAGTAGAGGACTCAATGTATTTTCGCAGTGTGCTCCGGTGTCTTTTGATGCAGGTAGAAACCTTTCAAACTCGGATACGAGACATCTGGCTTAGCAGCTCCACCTTGCAGATTTCAAATGGTTAATCAAACATTTACTACTCACTTAATCAACCATTTCTAATACGTTTTTATTAGAAAAATAATGCATGTGTATTCAGATGTTCATGCAAACCTGTGAGAAACAACAACTACTACTCTATTTGTTAAATTTCCATTAATAAACACAATTATTGTACTCCGACAACACCATCAGAGCAGACACCAGAATCTTGCTTGCTTAATCTGCAGGATGACCTCATTGCGTGCTCAGTGCTGATGTTTATAGTGATGTCGAGCTGTCGCAGTGACTCCTGCTGCTTGGAGGTGCCCCCTGGTGGTTTTACACTGGAATTGCAGTGGAACTCTTTTACATGAATCAGATAGATGCGTTTAGCCAAAGCATCATACAGTGCATTTAAAGTATACTTTTATTATTATTACTATTATTATTATATTGTTGTTTTTGTATGTTTTATAATATTGTGTATTCCCTGGAACCGAACCCATGATGTTTGTGTTGCTAGCACCATGCTCTACCAGTTACAGAAACCATTATAAAACCCCTACAAGTTAAAGGGGTCATATGATGCGATTTCAATTTTTCCTTTCTCTTTGGAGCATTACAAGCTCTTGGTGCATAAAGAAGATCTGTAAAGTTGCAAAGACTAAAGTCTCAAATCCAAAGAGATATTCTTTATAAAATTTAAGAGTCAGCCACACCTACCTAAAACGGCTCGTTCTAACACCCCCCCCACATGTCTACGTCACGATGTGGGAAGATTTGCATAACACCCCCCAAATGTTCACGCAAAGAAAGAAGGCGTAACTTTTATTCTCTGTAGTATTGTTGCTGCCGCCATGTCGTAAAGACGCTGTGTTTTTCGTTGTGAAAGTGAAACTACTTTGTTTGGCCTTCCAAAAGAGGACGATATCCACTTCGTCATGCCTGGAGCTGATTCGTGCTGGTCGCTGAGGAAATACTTCATCTTAGCGCTGTGGATCGCTGGATCGGCTTTCACCGTGGACGAAGCGGAGTCCAGCCCGAGGTCGTCACATGTGGTTGCCGCAAGCCCACTGGCCGCGCCGTTCTCTAGCCCGCCGGCCTCCGCTCACTCAAGCCCGACCGCCGCCGCTCACTCTAGTGTGCGACGCTGTGTGTTTCGTTGTGAAAGCGAAACTACTTTGTTTGGTCTTCCAAAAGAGGACACAACTAGAAAGCAGTGGTTAAGTTGTATTTACAACACTGTTCCAGAACAGTTCAACCCAAATGTTCAGATGTGTGCAGCGCATTTTATGGAGGACTGTTTCCTGATCCTGGTAGAGTAGACTACAGTGCCGGCTGTTCTGACTCACAGACTGTAAGTACGTTTTTTATATTAAAGAATTTGCCACTGACGATTCAAACGCGAGTTTTGGGCAGTGTAGAGTAGCGCTTGTTGTTAGTAATTTCTCCGATCACAAATGCAGACATGGTTTTATGTTTATGGGGCGCGATGCAATGCGTAAAAAGACAGTATAAGTCATTATAATCCGTAATTATGTTCCCACTGGATGCAACAAATGCCTCGTTTATAATGGGTTTTAATGTTTTTGTTTCATCGCTCCGGCCGTTTTTTTTAACCTTAAACCGCATAAACTCATTTCATTACACCAAATACACCAAATAATGTTATTTTTTAGCAACATCATATGACCCCTTTAAAAAACAAAACAAAAACAAATTATTATCTTTTTTTTTTTCTTTTTACTCTGCTCTAAAATACTCATTCTGCTCGAAATTGACAGAACATTTACAGGGTTCCTACACTCATGGAAAACCTGGAAAAATCCCACTCCCATCGACAAGCAATTGAAAAAATTGGGAAATTGATTGGCAAAGTTCCAACAGTTGCATAAAACCTGAAAAAATAAAAAAAATCAGGACATTTAAAAACGGTTTCCCAGGCTTTGAAAAGTTATGGAAATTTCTATAATGAATATTGTCATCATACAGAAACTTATCTTTGTGTCATGTTTATGTTTAATTTAGAAAAATCCTCATCCTATGAATATGAATTACCAAAAAAAAGTAAAATTATTGGATGGAGGTGCGATGTTTAATTATTAAAAAATATATACACTGTAGTTACATTTTGCAGTACTAACAAACATGTTTAATTTTGTATATTATTACCTCAATTTTTTTTTTTTTTTAAATATCTACATGTAGTGTCTCATTTATGATTACTTTTTATAATGTGGGTGGTGGTTCTTTTGACCCTCTCAGCAACATTTGGTTATTTTTCTCTGTGAATGTCTTCTCACTCCCATTTAGAGTCAAAGTCCTCCCCCCAGTTGAGCACAAAAATAGTTTTTAAAGAATCTCCACATACCAAAAGGACAAAAACCATAAACATATTCCATATGGAATGCGGGCTCTATTCTAATTATATGGACTACTTTTATTATTCTTTTATAGTGATTTGGTGGTTATTTTGACCCTCTGAGCAACGTTTGTTTATTTTCCTCTTTGTGGATATCTTCTCACACAGGTTCTAGATTGGATTGAAAACCATGGTGAGGCGTTCCTTAGTAAGCACACAGGAGTGGGGAAGTCTCTGCACCGGGCTCGAGCATTACAGAAACGTCATGAGGACTTTGAAGAAGTGGCTCAGGTAAGGAGAAATGGATGTTAGATCATCACTTTGGCTATTTTCCATCTGAATATCTTCTGTTCTCCTCCCATAATCAAAACTTGGCCGGCCATCTCAGAAATGAGTCAAATGCATATTAACTTCCAAACTTCTGCAAATGTTTCTCAGAACACCTACACTAATGCAGACAAACTGCTGGAGGCGGCAGAGCAGCTGGCTCAGACAGGCGAGTGTGACCCTGAGGAGATCTACCAGGCCGCACACCAGCTGGAAGATCGTATCCAGGACTTCGTAAGACGCGTTGAACAACGCAAAGTCCTGCTCGACATGTCTGTGGCCTTCCACACTCACAGCAAAGAGGTAAGTTATGAGAGAGTAAAAGTGGGTGTGGATATGTCTGGGTTTGCTAGTGTTTACATGTGTTCTACTTGACATAAATGTGTTCTCGAATATGATGTAACAGTTACACACACAGTCTATAATTTTTTTGGTCTTCACTTTAAAAGATATTATGTAACAGGTACAGTACACACACAATTTCTGAAAATGTACTTGGATTTATTATGGTTATTATTATTATTAATTTATTTATTTATTAAAGTGCCCCTATTATGGGTTATGAAATGTTCATATTTTGGTTTTGGGAGTCCCCAACAACAGGTTGACATGCATGCAAGGTCAAAAAACACTTTCATTGTCTTATAATATGCATTTATTTTTACCTTACTTGCTCAAAGACTCCCAAACGATTCGTTTAACGATTCATTTTTCCAACCCCTCCTTTGCATGACGCTAATCTGCGGTGATTGGTCCGATTGGTCTCATTTTCATTTCATCATGCCTGTAATGCCTGATAAAGCAGTGTTGTGAGCGCGGTGCTGCTTTGTGTACAGTGTTACTGGTGAAAACGGTATTTTTACTGCTCCAAAAGCGGCACCTATTGGCAAAGAACGAATTAGCATTTTCATTCAGACCAATGAGAAAGACCAATAAGTGGGCGGGCAATATGCTAATATTTCATATTGACTTCAACATGAAAGGGCTTGGGATTCGTTTTAAAAATGACTCGTTTCAATGATTCAGAGTTGACTCTTTCTTTTGAGAGACAATAACTTTATACACGGTGCGCATTCCGATTTAAAACTTTTTTAGAGGATGGTTTCATTCACTGTGTTACACACTGCATGAACGGTAATTTTCAAAAATCCATAATAGGGGCGCTTTAATAGATTTACAATATAGCAGTCGCTGGTTCCCAGTGTTCCATTGATTCTGCACCATTTTGTTGAGTGTGCGGTAACATTTCTCTGTAGGTCTTGCACGACACATTTTTACTAGTCAGCTAGTCAACAGATCACTGTTTATATTATGTAAATGACATTCCTATAAGTTCTGCAGCTTTGGCACTTTTTTGATGCATGGACACAAGTGATGCATCACTTTCACGTAATTCCAGTTAGAGGTTATAATACAAAGTTAATGTTTATACAATAATTTGCTCTAAAGCCAAGCTAGTGGTTAGCTTTTTTTGAACCTCAAATCTTTACAATTTGTCTGCTTATAAATTCAGAACTCTTTCCTTCTGGCCCATCTATATTCCACATACGGTGAATGATAATGAGTAGTAGTGTGTACATGATTCATGATATACTTAATACAAGCAAACAACGCTCTCTTTAACGTCTCCATATGGCATAATGTTAGCCATCTGCTATCTGTTGTGGGTTAGCTTATATAGACATCTTTGTTTCTGAGAGTGTGTTTTATAATGGTATAAGTAATAATAAAGGGTTAAAGGCTGGAGTTTTGGAAAAAGAGGAAGATGGAGATGGAAAAAGACAATGGGGAGGTGTGGAAGGACAGGGCATGGCCTGCTGTGGCAGGAGATACACTCTTTGACATGCCAACACAGGCAGATGGCTAATCCTGAGCTCTCACAATATAAAGCCATTCACAGGAAATAACAACACCAGCCGTTCGGTGGCAGCCAACGTCTGTCTGGCTGTTTGTCTTGTCATGTTTGTGCATTTGGATATTTTAAATTATAGAACAAATGTTATTTGTTTGGAGACCCATGGATCTACATAGTTCACTGACTGGTTCACACCATTGTGAAGTTTCTGATTGGCTGGTAATGCTGTTATTCCTCTGCAGCTGTGGACGTGGTTGGAGGAGCTTCAGAAGGAGTTGCTGGATGATGTTTATGCTGAGTCAGTGGAGGCCGTGCAGGAGCTGATCAAACGTTTCGGTCAGCAGCAGCAAACCACCCTGCAGGTCACCGTCAACGTCATTAAAGAAGGGGAGGATCTCATCCAGCAGCTCAGGTACTGGCCAATGAGAAAACATCGGCTTAGTATCCCATTGACGTCTGTTGTATTAATTACAATTGCTAAAGCCTAACCCTACAGACACTTTTTTAAAAGATTTTTTTAGTCATTTTATGAAACTAGTGGCTTTATGGCGACCGAAAACCGTTCCGTTCTATATCTACAGTTGTATATCTTCAATCACTGTTGATATTGCAATGTTTCATGTGGAGTTTTTCTATTTAAACCAAGTCAAGTAAATTTTATGTGTAAAGCACTTTCACAATACTCATTTCAATGTCGATTCACATTTCAGCTGCTTTACCAAAAATTAGGATGTTAATGTTTATAATATCATTATATCTTAATGCCTTATAATCGCATTTTGCAGATATGCAGATAATATGATTAAATGATATAAACAATCAAGCAGTTGAGATTTGCTACAGTATATAGTATATATTTCTTTATGTGAGTATACTCTATGTATGCAAATAAAATTAACTTGTCTGTCCAACTTCATTTATAGGGCTGTGCGATAATAATCTACATTTTTTAAACAGTCGAGCAGTCAACATTTCCATTTCCCAATTCCCCAGCAAATGTAGAATATAGATTGATCACATCCAAATTGTATACACACATGCGCACATAGACTTGGTTAAAAACAAGTTAGACTTCTGTCTTTACAAACACATATGTTAAAAAGATATGAGAACACAGAGCTGCAACAACATACCCCGAATACACAGTAACACACTCATTCACTTAACTGACTCATGTCCTAATCTGCAGAGACTAACTAGATACTAACTCGTACACACTCTTTTTTTCTGACTGCAGAGACTCTGCGATCTCCAGCAATAAGACTCCTCATAACAGCTCAATGGCTCACATCGAGAGTGTCCTGCAGCAGCTGGATGAGGCCCAGGCTCAGATGGAGGAACTGTTTCAGGAACGGAAGATCAAACTAGAGCTCTTTCTTCAGCTCAGGATCTTTGAACGAGATGCCATTGATGTGAGTCCACAATTTATGACATGTCTGACAGTTTATTCCCAAATGATAACCCACTGATTTTGTTGTAAACAATGGATTCTAACACTCAAGACAAGTGGTTCTCGATTGTGCTAGGAAGTCAGGGGGCTTTTTTTAATCATCATTCTTGGGCCCTTTCAGATGACTTGAGTCTAAATGAATAGTTGAAGCTCATGTCAAAATTAGCTGATCAGCATTCCAAATGCTGAATTATATTAATAGGGAAAAAATATGGTATACATTTAGATTTAATATAAACATAATAATAATAATAAGTTACATTTATATAGCGCTCTTCTGGGTACTCAAAGCGCTTTACATGAAAGTGGGGGCATCTCCTCAACCACCACCAGTGTGCAGCATCCACCTGGATGATGCGACGGCAGCCATATTGCGCCAGAACACCCACCACACACCAGCATATTGATGGAGAGAAGAAAGAGTGATGAAGCCAATCAGTGTATGGGGATGATTAGGAGGCCATGATGGTCAGAGGCCAATGGGCAAATTTGGCCAGGATGCTGGGGTTATACCCCTACTCTTTTTCGAAGGACATCCTGGGATTTTTAATGACCACAGAGAGTCAGGACCTCGGTTTAACGTCTCATCCGAAGGACAGTGCTTTTTACATTATAGTGTCCCCGTCACTATACTGGGGGCGTTAGGACCCACACAGACTGCAGGGTGAGCACCTCCTGACATAGACTTGGTTAAAAACAAGTTAGACTTCTGTCTTTACAAACACATATGTTAAAAAGATATGAGAACACAGAGCTGCAACAACATACCCCGAATACACAGTAACACACTCATTCACTTAACTGACTCATGTCCTAATCTGCAGAGACTAACTAGATACTAACTCGTACACACTCTTTTTTTCTGACTGCAGAGACTCTGCGATCTCCAGCAATAAGACTCCTCATAACAGCTCAATGGCTCACATCGAGAGTGTCCTGCAGCAGCTGGATGAGGCCCAGGCTCAGATGGAGGAACTGTTTCAGGAACGGAAGATCAAACTAGAGCTCTTTCTTCAGCTCAGGATCTTTGAACGAGATGCCATTGATGTGAGTCCACAATTTATGACATGTCTGACAGTTTATTCCCAAATGATAACCCACTGATTTTGTTGTAAACAATGGATTCTAACACTCAAGACAAGTGGTTCTCGATTGTGCTAGGAAGTCAGGGGGCTTTTTTTAATCATCATTCTTGGGCCCTTTCAGATGACTTGAGTCTAAATGAATAGTTGAAGCTCATGTCAAAATTAGCTGATCAGCATTCCAAATGCTGAATTATATTAATAGGGAAAAAATATGGTATACATTTAGATTTAATATAAACATAATAATAATAATAAGTTACATTTATATAGCGCTCTTCTGGGTACTCAAAGCGCTTTACATGAAAGTGGGGGCATCTCCTCAACCACCACCAGTGTGCAGCATCCACCTGGATGATGCGACGGCAGCCATATTGCGCCAGAACACCCACCACACACCAGCATATTGATGGAGAGAAGAAAGAGTGATGAAGCCAATCAGTGTATGGGGATGATTAGGAGGCCATGATGGTCAGAGGCCAATGGGCAAATTTGGCCAGGATGCTGGGGTTATACCCCTACTCTTTTTCGAAGGACATCCTGGGATTTTTAATGACCACAGAGAGTCAGGACCTCGGTTTAACGTCTCATCCGAAGGACAGTGCTTTTTACATTATAGTGTCCCCGTCACTATACTGGGGGCGTTAGGACCCACACAGACTGCAGGGTGAGCACCTCCTCTGGCCTCACTAACACCTCTTCCAGCAGCAACCTAGTTTTCTCAGGAGGTCTCCCATCCAGATACTGACCAGGCTCAGCCATGCTTAGCTTCAGTGGGCAACCAGTCTTGGGCTACAAGGTGACATGGCTGCTGTTTTTTTTTTTTTGTGTACATGGGTGTAATATTTAGCTAGCTAAAATGGCAAATAAAATAAATAAATAGTAATAATAATTATGAAGGTGAGCAGAGGATTTCAAAATAGTCTCAGTTAAGTTACTAGATAGACTATATTGTAACGAGACTGTTGCTATGAGAACACACACTGATAGAGATGCCTTCCCACTGGCTGCATGTACAGTATTCTGGCTGCATTCACGAAAGTTAACATTTTGCAATCACAGCTCCACATTTATATATGCAACTCATACAGCTTTCTATTTTTTGTGCAATTCATACAAGTGATATTTTCAAACCAAAATAGTTGTGTTTCTAATTAGCCTGTGTTGTGTTTAATCATTTTGCATGCTGCTCAGCCAGTGCCGTTCATGATTATATTAACAAATTTCAATATTTGATTTTAGAAACCTATTTGTTTGTAAATTACAATCTTGCTCTCAGATATTTATTTTTTTCTCATAGCCATCAGGCAGTCCCCCATGATTGCATGAGTTTGAAGTTTCAGTTCTGCGTCAGTTGTGAGGTAGAAGGCTATACCACGTGTTGTTGCTTCTATCTTTCTCGGCGGTTTTGATCTGATCAGTGGAACAAAGTGCTAAAGACAAAATCCATTGATCTCAGAGATTCTGAGCGGAATCCTTTTGATATTTTCAAACCAAAATAGTTGTGTTTCTAATTAGCCTGTGTTGTGTTTAATCATTTTGCATGCTGCTCAGCCAGTGCCGTTCATGATTATATTAACAAATTTCAATATTTGATTTTAGAAACCTATTTGTTTGTAAATTACAATCTTGCTCTCAGATATTTATTTTTTTCTCATAGCCATCAGGCAGTCCCCCATGATTGCATGAGTTTGAAGTTTCAGTTCTGCGTCAGTTGTGAGGTAGAAGGTATACCACGTGTTGTTGCTTCTATCTTTCTCGGCGGTTTTGATCTGATCAGTGGAACAAAGTGCTAAAGACAAAATCCATTGATCTCAGAGATTCTGAGCGGAAGCCTTGAGCAAGCATAAAGCCATCATGGATGCTCTTTTCACAGCCTGCACTGTGAGTCATTGTGGATTGTGTCTCTGGATGTGTGAAAATTACTCTTATGACTTTTGTCAAAAGGGTGTTTGTGGAACTAACAGCTTTATCGAATCAATATCACTTTCAAGGTTTCTCTCTATCAAAGCTCTTACAGTCAACATGAAAAAACCTATTTAATTTTTTTGTAATGTCACCAAAGGCTCAAGGTTTGCCACCTTTGCAGTATGTGAGTGGCTACATGCAAGCCTCACATCACCAAGTACAATGCCAAGCGTCAGATAGAGTGGTGTAAAGAACGCCACCACTGGACTCTGGAGCGGTGGAAATGTGTTCTGTGGAGTGACAAATCACACTTCTCTGTTTGGGAGACTGATTGGTGAGTCTGCGTTTGACGGATGCCAGGAGAACATTACCTGTATGACTGCATTATGCATGAGGGATAATGGTATGGGATTTTTCTTCAGGGGTTGGGCTAGGCCACTTGCTTCCAGTGAAGGAAAATCTTAATGCTTTAGAATACCAAAACATTTTGCACGATGCTATGTTTGTGAGATTGTGGCAATGCTTCGGGGAAGGCCTGTTTTTATTCCGGCATGACCATGTCCCAGCCTGTGGAGTGACAAATCACACTTCTCTGTTTGGGAGACTGATTGGTGAGTCTGCGTTTGACGGATGCCAGGAGAACATTACCTGCATGACTGCATTATGCATGAGGGATAATGGTATGGGATTTTTCTTCAGGGGTTGGGCTAGGCCACTTGCTTCCAGTGAAGGAAAATCTTAATGCTTTAGAATACCAAAACATTTTGCACTATGCTATGTTTGTGAGATTGTGGCAATGCTTTGGGGAAGGCCTGTTTTTATTCCGGCATGACCATGTCCCAGTGCACAAAGCAAGGTCTATAAAGACATACAGTAGTTAGTAGGGCTGGGTAAAAAAATTGTGATATCTCGATTATAATCGGTTCTCATTTAATGAAACAATATCGATTCTTAAATCCTAAGAATCGATTAGTCTAGCCTGTTTTCAGTTAATGGGTGGAACATTGATGGGCACCTCCCATTCAATAAATCACAATAAGCATTGTGCTTTGGTAATTTTAATATGAAACAGATTTCAAATTATGTTCATTGAATTGCAGTATTCAAACAATAAATGCCGTTTTGATGCTGTGGAGTGATCGCTGTAGCGCGGCGCGCCTACAATAAAAGCGGTAGCGCGAGGTGCACGTGAACTGATCATCTCCTCCACATTAATACCAATTTCAGCACAAAATAAACATGACTAAACATCCGAAGGTAAGTTAAAAGAAAGAGTACAAGTTTACAATCCATATCCTGGCTCATGTATTCACTCAATCAGTGTTTCCGACGTCAAAATAACGGCTTGTAAACAATATCACGTAACGTCACATTTACCTCCGTGAAAAAAACCGTATTCGGTGACCATAACCTCATTGGTCAGCTAGAAAAATAAACTGTAGAGAGGAGCATTTTGCTAAATATATGCACCATATAATATATTCATTATAAATTTTACTGTTCTTCAATGTTTAATTAATATTTTATGACAGCCATCATTTAAATGTTTATATTTAAAAAAACTAATTGAAGTATAAATATTATTATGTAATTGTAACTTTTATTATAAAAACTTCATTAAGTGTAATTTAAGCAGTTATATGAATAGCCTAAAAAATCAGTCAGTTTTAACCTTCAATATTATAGTAATGTAGTACCAACTGACTCTCATGTATATTTTACAGCATTAGTTAAGAGATTTTTTTTCCATGAGAAAATTTTGCATGTGTACCAGATATATATCCAAAATAATCGATATTGAATTGAATCGCAAGCTTGTGAATGAGAATCAAATCGAATCGTGAAAT